GACTGGGTTTCTGCAGATATTTGGTTGCGTGTACTTAAATTGCTGTTCCACGTCTTTAATCACTGTCTGACAGTCTAGGCATAGGAAGGTTCCACTCACAAGTTCGGGATGAACTGGGTGGGTACGTACCACCTGTCCACTGATACGCATCAGTGAGCCAATTTTTGCTGATGTCAATTCTCGAATTCTGTTTAAAACACGAAATTGATAGGGATTGAGTTCTTAGTTGAATTGGCATTTTTATGCCCAGTGTAGTATTCAAGTACTAAGACACTAGGTAGTTTCAGCAGTCTGTGATTAAAGAACAGCTACAATGTTTTCTCATTTTATGACTGTACAGAAACTTTTAATATTGGTTTGAGCTTAAATATTCATCTAAAAGTTACTTCAGTTGTGCTTCAAAAAATAACTTAACCTAAATCCTTTTTCAAAAAGACAAGCTACATGTGTCTGCCGAATATGATGAACATAGTGATATTAGTGAGAGTGATATATTAGAGACATAGTGAACGTTAGTGATATAGTCCCTTCCCATCTAGCCCAGTGTCTGCATGATTCATAGAAGATGAAGTGTTTCAGAACATACTCTGCACAAGATTAGGCAATTTCTTCACACTTGCACTGATAAACTGGAAATTTCTTGCTACACAGTCAAAACATTTTCAGTATGCTTGAACATTTCTTTCCCCACACATAAGTACACCAGTTTTTGGAATCAGTAACCATCTTACTTGTGTCTGGTAGGTAGATCTTGGAATGCGACATAAAAGTCCTTGTTTGAAGGAACATTTCCATGGTCTCTGGCAAAAGTCTTTACTGCTCGGCAGAGATAAGGATAAACTCTGAAAGACAGAAAATAAGCTCAAATTTTACAGAAACTATCACAATGTCTTTTTCACTTTAGCCTGTGTCAAAGGCTTGTACCATCCATTTGCAGGTTCTGTCTTATACTGCCACACTATATAAGAACACACCAAAGCTAGTCTAAATATGCTAAATGTGAGACTACTGCATATTACCATTTGCTTTATTATCCAAGGAGGCTTATTTTATGCCAGTTTACCCATATAATAAGTGGTAGAGCCTGAAAATCAGTCATTGGATCAATAAAACATTTTCAGAGTAAGAAGTGCTAAAGTTTACACTATGTTTCCATACTGATCACCTATTTACCAGAGTAAATGCAATTGCCTAGTTAAGTCGTGCTTCTTAAAGAGACAGAAGTAATAAGTATCAGTCCGGTAAGAAAAAAAAAAGTTTTGATCCAATAAAAAACATGTTTTAAATGGTAAGAGTTTTCACCCTAGTGAAAGCAGATGAATATTTGTTAAGACCTTATGGGCCTGAGACTGCATTGCTCGGCTCTCAGGTAATCTCTACGTTTTACCTGTAAAACTCCTCCTGAACAGTGGTAGAAAGCTGCTGATTGAACTGCTCCAAATCCACAAAGCTTACGATCAGCGTGTTCCGCTCTGGCCGAATCAGTTCTTCGGCATCACGCAAGTATTTGACCTCCCCGTCGCTGTTCTGGAACCTGAAAGCGAGTATGGTTCAAGAAAACATTCGCAGTTATACATGGGGCAGCAGCTGAACGCTTCTGAACGCCACAGAGGAGAAGAAGGAAAGGATATGCCGCGGGGCATCCCGGAAAAACACAGCATCCCACATTCCCTTGCAAATGTCTTTCCCAACAGCCTCTTTCCTCCTGTCCCCTTTCTTCTATAAAGGCCCCAGACAGAAAGAACCGGGTCTGCATTTCACATAGCTGGTTTATCACCCGGGATTTTATTTATGGTTTAACGATGACTCTACCGAAGCGAACGGGTTTGGCTTCCTTGGGGCCGATCGCGCTCCCAGGTTCCTTGTTTGTGCTAAAGGACCCCCTGGAAAGCGAAGCCTCGGAAGTCCAACGTATTAACTTGCCGGAAGCAAGGCGCGAGGGGGATTTTGAAGCTGGCAGCCACCAAACTTTGCGAAAAGCGACCAAGCGAAGAGGCCTGAAAGAAGAGCTGCAGCAGAAGCGAGCTCGCAGGGGTTTTGCAAATGGAGGGAGAGCCGCCCGCTGCCTCCCGGCGCCCCTTCCGAGGCTGACAACCCGCAGCGCAACAGAGAGGGCCCTCAGCGGTGAGCCCAAGCGGCCGG